TATATATATATATATATATATATATAATATATTCACATAGAAAAACGCTGTTTTAAATTGTAATAATATTTCACAATATTACTGTTTTTTTATCAAATAATTGCAGCCTTGGTGAGCAGAAGAGACTTCTTTTTAAAAACATAAACAATCTTACCGATCTAAAACTATATATTTCTATACTACTAACAGCAGTGTCGCTGTACACTGGCGAAGAGGGGACATTCTGAATGATATCTATCCAACCAAGTGGGCTTTGTGTGTGTGTGTGTGTGTGAACTGGCAGTGAAATCTTTCTTAATTACGCTTACATTATATATCATTATATACATTAATTATATATATATATATATAATATATTATATATATATATATATTCACATAGAAAAACTGTTTTAAATTGTAATAATATTTCACAATATTACTGTTTTTTTATCAAATAATTGCAGCCTTGGTGAGCAGAAGAGACTTCTTTTAAAAACATAAACAATCTTACCGATCTAAAACTATATATTTCTATATTACTAACAGCAGTGTCGCTCCACACTGGCAAAGAGGGACATTCTGAACGATATCTATCCAACCAAGTGGGGACTTTGTGTGTGTGAACTGGCAGTGAAATATGTCTTCATTACAGTTAAATTATATATCTATTATATACATTATGTATATATATATACTATATTTTTCTTATTTAACGCTCTCTCTTCATATATACTTTCTATGCTTTGTTATGCAGTCCCTAACAATTTACTTGCCATAGTTATGTGCCATTGCACACACATGTCTATATTACTAACATATACATGTATTACACAGCAGTGTCGCTGCACACTAGCCAAGAGGAACTTTTCTGAATGATATCTATCCAACCAAGTGGGGACTTTGTGTGTGTGTGTGAACAGTGAATTGAAGTGGCAGTGAAATACACATCCGTAAAGGGGGTCGCACACCGAATGAGGAAGCGCAGCGCTGCGCCACGTCTAGGACAACTCCAAGTATCGCACACCGGACTCACTTTCTCATCAGTGTATGGCCAGCAATATTGTTATGTTTAATGACATGAAATGAAGATGTTTGTTCTATGTTATAATTGTACTGTACAATTAAATACAATCGTTGCTGCTGAGTCTGCAGTCTGAAAACTACCTCAGAGCATCAGTTAACTGAATGAATTGAGAATCTCACATGAAAACCCAATTACATCAGCAATTGTCATTCAAGCAGCTGATTTATGTAAATGAATGCAAAACTAAATTTATTGCAGCACAGGGCAAAGTCAGTATACATTATCAACGATTTGAGACAATAAAATAATTTAAACTTTATATAAAACTAAATGGCACTCTGTGGCGGCAGCAGGATTACATTCAAAAGGTCACGGCGACGTAGCCGTAAGTACAGAGTCAGTGTTTACAAGTTGAACGCATAGGTTGAACGTGCAAACTAACTCAAACGCCGTTTACAAAAAAGTAATTAAAAGGTAAAACAACAATGTCGGACGATTTTGATTCTGCACTTCCGGCTACGTCGCCCGTGACCTTTTGAACGTAATTACGTAATACGTGACGTTACAAACGCGCCTCACAGAATAGAGCTAGGCTAGCATTTGTCCTTAGAAAAGTTACATTTTTGGAATAAGTTTTGAAATAACCGATCGTTTCGCATGATAAGACCCTTATTCATCGTCTCGTCTGCATCTGAAACTGTTATTAACTGTCTTTTGACCTTGGACCGTCTGGTTCCCATGTAAGTCCATTATATGGAGAAAAATCCTGGAATGTTTTCATCAAAAACCTTAATTTCTTTTCGACTGAGGAAAGAAAAATATGGACATCTTGGATGACATGGGGGTGAGTAAATTACCAGCAAAAGTTTTTTAAGAGCCACAAACCTGTATATAAAACTCTTTTTATTTTAGATACACTAAATGCAGACAAAGAAAGACAGGATTTTGATGCAATATGCAAAAAAAGTCAGAACAGTCACACAGCTTGATCAAACAGGATTATGTTATTTTATGTTTGAGATAGATATAGATAAATAAAAATAAAAATATTTAGACATTTTTTTTTACGTTGATCTTACCTAAATGTTTGTTTTTTTGTTGTTTTTTTTTTGTTAAGAGTTTAAGTAACACATGGAAGCTTGATTTCAATCTTCGAATTAAACTGAAAAAAGTAGCAAATAAATAGAATAAAGAGTTTTTTTGGTATGTCAGAAATACTACAGAAACTGAATAAAGTAATCCAATGTAAAATAACACTGGATAGTCTTTTTAGTCCAAGACTGAATTAAATACAAAGGCTATTAATTCTGATTGCTTAGAATTAATGCTATATTCTGTTGTTTTAATTCAACAGAATTAATGACACATATGGCTGCGTTCACTTTAAGAACGGATCCCTGTCTCATTTGTACTGTCTGTCTGTCACACGCGTTTAATGCTTATTTAAGACATTAGACTGTCTTTACGAGGTTACTCACCAATACCAGAGTTTTGACATTATGTCGCGTGTTTTTAACTGTTAAGCGATATAATCCAGGGATAAAACGTTTGTTTCAGGCGAGCTGTTTGAGGCGGATTGGCTTTACTGTATGTGCACGCAGTGAAAGACATCTCTGAGAGTGCGCGAGCACGGGATGGTTTAATATCGCTTGAATGTTTAAACTAAAACTTAAAAATTATAAACGTTAGTTACCATCATAGGTTACGATGCAATGCTGGCCCGATTGTGCAAGTGAATATTTCGTCGTGTCCCGACTCCTAAACGCGAGTGTGTATCGACAGCTGCAGCGCTTAGTGCTTGCCTAGTGCAGTGAGACGAGAAGACGCCGCACCGCGTCCGCGGGCCCTTTATATGGAAAAAATCGATTCGAGGCCGTTGAGAATCGATTTTGAATCGGCCACATTTTAAAAACCGATTAATCGAAAAATCAATTTTTTTGCCCAGCCCTAATACACACACACATATATATATATATATATATATATATATAAATCACATAAAACATAAAAGCCTGCCGGAAAAGATGGGTCTTAAGGCAAGATTTAAAAACATGAATACTTTCACTGTTTCGCACATCCTGTGGCAGCAGGTTCCATAAATAAGGAGCTGCAAAACTAAAAGCCCGGGACCCCATAGAAGTAGTGCGGGTTCTAGGGAGAACAAGAGTGAGCGAGGAAGACGATCTTAAAGTCCGAGATCGAATATAGATATTAAGAAGGTCCAATAAATATGAAGGGGCAAGGTTATTGAGTGCTTTAAATGTCCGCTTTGGACAGTATTCATGTAAATTATGTCGGTTATGTCTTAAACAGTTGTGAGTGTATCGGATGTGCATCAGTGCGATTGGATCCGCATGTCATTGGAAATAATCCGACGTCTTAAAGTGAAAGTGGCATCAAACATAATGTGGTCTGTGTCCTTAATATTGATCAAGCAACCAAAGAAAAAGAGAAAAGCAATCACAGTTTGTTAATAGCTTTAGTATAATAAGGATTAATTATATTTAATTTACACAAAGAATATTTCTGCTTGAAAGAATAAAGAAGGATGTATGCATGGTTATAAAGAATGCATACTGTATATCATCCATTGAAAAGGCTGTGTTGTACTTTAGGAAAAGTGGTTTTTATTTAATTTTAAGATATTTTTTAAATCACAGTAGTTAAATCCGTATCTGTATTGCATGTTCAGACTTTTAAATCATTTATATTAATAGGTTAATAGATGTTTTCTTCGGGAGTGTATGG